CCCCAGCCCTGCCATCCCGCTCCCACCCCATCCCGACCCCATGGCTCCACTGGCACCAGTCCAGTCCTTCTCCTGTCCCATCCCACCCCGCGGCGCCTCCATCCCCATCCTGCCCCGTCCCTGCCCCACAGCCCCGTCCTGCCTGGGCGCTGGGTGCCGGCTGCTGCTCACCTGGGCAGGACTCTGGGGGTGTGGGGCTGTGGGTGACCCCTCGGGGGCTGCTTATATCCCCCGGGCCAGCTCCCGCCCCTGGGCCAGGGAGGCCGTGCTGGCCCCTGCCACAGCCTGGGTAAACACGGTGGGGGTAAGGGTCGCTGCGGGGGACGGCCCCTCCTCGTCCTAGCTGGGGGTGGCCCCGCACCCAGGGGTCCTATCCCTGTGTTCCCAATGCCCCACAGCCCTAGGCAGGACACAGGTGGTGGGTGACAATGGCCCAGGGACTGGGGCTGTGGGGGCCCTTGGGAACCGGGGCTGCCACAGCGGGGGCTTGGCTGGTCCTATGGCATGCAGTGGCCCTGTGGCATGTGGTGGCCCTGTGGCATGTGGGAGCCCTGTGGCACGTGTGGCCCTGTGGCGTGTCGCAGCCCCGCAACATGCTGTAACCCTGCAGCATAGCAGGACCCCCAGAGCAGCCCCAGGGCTCCCCCCCCAGCCCCAGAGCCGCCCCATACCCCCACTCCAGCACCCACTAGGCCCTCTGCCCCAGCCCCGTGGGTTTCAGCGGCCGCCCCACCCCGGGGTCCTGGCTTGGCGGGGGTACCCTGTGGGGCTGCACAGCCCGGCCGGCCCCGGTGCCTGCGGGGCAAAGGTCATCGCCCGCCTTATCGCTGACCCTCGGCTGCCAACGTGACGGTGTGACTCAGCCTGGGGCAGGCAGGGGCCGTCCCCGTGGGGTCCTGGAGGAGGCACCCATCGGGGGGGACCCTGGGGACACCCTACCTCAGGGCCAGGCCTGGGGCCAGCTCCGGTGCTGTTTGGGGACACAGGGCCAAAGGGCACCTGGGCAGCACTGAGGACAAAAACTCTTTGTCCCCTGGGTCACCAGTGGGGCCACTGGGGCCCCTTCCCCTCCTGAGCCCCTGCTCGTGCCAGCCCTTTCCAGGAAAGCTGCTGGTGACGGCAGCAGGGACAGGGGATGGGGACTGGGGGACATGGGGAAGGTCCAGGGACACGGGGCAGGGAGAGGGGTGTGGGACTGGGGATACGGGGCAAGCAGGGGAGGTGTGGAGGGGACACAGGGCAGGGGAGATGGGGGGGAAAGACAGGTCAGAGGGGGGGACACAGGGAGGGGACGT